GAAAAAGTAAAGACAGATGTGGCTAGTGCAATTGTGGTGTGGCAAGCATTTCTAGCATCTGGAGTTGGAACTTGAGGTAACCCTCCCTGATGAGTCAATCAGTGGCCATTTTGACTTAGGTTGCAGCTATGCTTGGGTATTCAATTGGGATATCAGCCAATCTAGGGCAACACAACAACCAATGCACTTAGCAGAAGAATGGGGAGAACCACATGTGAAAGACAGTATCAAAAATCTCTAGACACAAGCTTAATAAAAGCACAACTGGATGCCACATAACCACACTGCTACCACTGAAGAGAGATCATAATGTAGAAATGAGAAACATATGGCAATTATGTTTTTAAAAGTTTACTATGGACTATATGATGTGGTATATTAATCCTTGTATGATAAATATGAGATCCAGTGTGGTATAGTGACTTGGGTGTTTGGTCTAATTTCTTTAGTGTATTAGAGTCTGGTTCCTTTAATCTTCTCCACCAACTGCAGGGGGGTTGGTTACAGAGACTTACTAAGAAATACTCTGGGAGTACTTGTTGTATGGTGCTTCCAAATTATGGTGAACATAAGGCAAGACCATAAGACTCAACATAGTCTTTAGCACAGAACAGGTATATCCGTGGGTGGAGGTAGTCAGTATATTCGCATATACAGGCATTTAACCCTGGTGGCACAGTGGTTAAATGCTTGTACTGCAGCCACTCACTCATAGACCACAAGGTTGCGAGTTCAATACCAGCCAGGGCTGAGGCTCGACTCAGGCCTGCATCCTTCCGAGGTCGCTAAAATGAGTACTCAGCTTGTTGGGGGGCAATCAGCTCACAGTTGTAAACCGCTTAGACATCCCATGCGCGATGTGAAGCGGTATATAAATGAAGCTGCTTTGCTTTTGCTTTGCTATTGTCATGGATGGATCATTTCCTGGTCAAGGTTGGGCTGAAGACCACTACTTCCACCGTCGGGGATCTATTAAAATGGTCTGCCCTCATAGGCTGATGGAACTTATCATGTTCCAAGAAGTCCTAGAGGGTTTAATGGTTGGCAATGCCAGCGACTCTGTTGAAGCTCTGGTGGATATTTGGAACAACAATCTTACCAGAGTTATCAACACAATTGCTCCCAAGTGTCCTTTCCAGTCCACTTCAAATCGTAATCCTTGGTATACGGAAGATCTCAGGCAAATGAAGTGGACTGGACAACGACTAGAGTGCCTCTGGCAGAAAACTTGACTCTTATCTGACAAGACATGTCATAGGACTTCTTAAAGCCCGTCGAGTGGCAATAGAGGCAGCTAAGAAGTATTTCTATTCTGCTTCTATTGCGTTTGTGAAGTCTCATCCAGGGATTTAACACAAATGCCCCCCACCCAGAACTCTCTATTAGAACCAACTATAGCCTGCTGTGATGCTTTTAACAATCATGTCGCAGATAAAATTTCTTAGATAAGAGCTGACTTAGACACCAGCATTACTACAGAAGCAATAGGAGAGGTATCCAGTACCTCTGCCAAATTTGCTATACTAGATCAATTTGATTTGGTAAGTACTGAGGATGTGGACAAGCTCCTTGGTAGTGTGAAAAGGACAACCTGCTCTTTCGATCTTTCCCCATCTTGGCTGACTGTCCAGGGGGGAGATTCCATCAAGGTGTTGCTGAGACTTATAATCAATGCATCCTTCAGGGAAGGCTGACTTCCACTGTGCCTAAAAGAGGCCGTGGTCAAACCACTTTTAAAAAAGCCTTTCCTGGACCCCCTGGACAAAAGCAACTACAGGCCAGTATCACTTTTACCATTCATAAGCAAAGTTATTGAGAGAGTGGTCACCATTCAACTCCATGCAGTCTTGGATGAAACTGATTTTCTTGATCCATTTCAAACCGGGTTTAGGATGGCATATGGAGATGATCCTGCCATGATCACCTTAGTCAATTATCTCCGTCTGGGCATTGACAGGGGAAGTGTGACCCTGTTGGTGCTCTTGGACCTCTCAATGGCCTTCAATACAATCAACCATGGTATCCTTCTGGAATGCTTGAGAGAGTTGGGAATCGGAGGCTCTGCCTTGCAGTGGTTCCATTCCTACCTCTCAGGCAGATTCCAGATAATGATGCTAGGAGACAGTTGCTTTTCTAAAAGAGAGCTAAAATCTGGCATCCTCCAAGGCACCATCCTGTCTCCCATGTTCTTTAACATTTACATGAAGCTGCTGGGTGAGATCATCCAGAAATATGGGGCGTGGTGTTATCAATATACTGATGACACCCAAATATATTTCTTTATGTCTTGGACTGATGCAGTGACTAAGGATGGCATATCTCCTCTGAATGACTGTCTTGGGGTGGTAATGGACTGGATGAGGGGAAACAAACTCAAACTGAATCCAAGCAAAATGGAGGTACTTGCTATAGGGATCCCCAACCCAGAAATGGAGATATGTCAGCCAGTTCTGGATGGGGTCACACTTCCCCTGAAGGATTCTGTCCACAGTCAGGGGGTGCTCCTAAATTCGCTGCTGCACCTGACCGCTCAGGTGGATGCGATGGTCAGGAGCACCTGTCATCAGCTTCAGCTGATTCGCCAGCTTCGACCCTGCCTGGAGCCGGGCAATCTAGAAACAGTGGTACATGCATTGGTAACCTCTCAACTTGACTTCTACATGGGGCTACCCTCGTGCCAAGTTCAAAAACTTCAATTGGTACAGAATATGGCAGCCAGACTGGCCACAGGAACATCTAGAAATGACCACATAACACCTGTTTTAAAATCTTTACATTGGCTGCCAATTAG